GTTTTACTAAATAAATACTCAGATATCGGCATCAGTAGGTCAGCTCACTGAAAATATTCTCTGATTTGTTTTTATGGGGATATGGTTATTACGTATTTTGCATTTCCTAACTGATTAGAGAGGGCTTTAATAGTGTTGCTATGGTTTCCTAAATAAATAAGAAACAAAAAAATTTGTTCTAGGCCTTTTCTCTGGGTGTGCGTGAGACCACACTATATGCACTGTTGGGCTTGAATAGGTAATTAATTGTGTAACGTCAACATCGGGTACCTTCTCTGAGTAATTCTAAAGCAATATGCTTGTCCTTTTAGACAACTTATTAAGTACCCCATAGTGCATCGTTACAGATTACCTCAGGAATGGATTGCAGATAACGGCACAGCAGTTCGTGGAACGTTTGTTGTTTGGACCCAACATCCGGTGAGTAAGAAGCCTAAGCGAAGAAGATGCGAGATGGAAAGCAGATGTGAACAGGAACGGTGATTAATAAACAGAACTGACCAGAAATGCCTGCCCCAAATTGCGGGAGACTTACTGAACAAAGCCCATCCTTACTGCGTCTTTTCATGCATTCTACGATGTGAGGCTCTAGTAACTTAGTGCCCTATTATAGCTACTGCTGTGAATCGTATCTTTCTCCCCAGAAGGGCTCTATTACTTTAGATTCAAGAGCACTTATTTTTGAAATTATTCAACAGGAAAAAAGCCAGGAACTAAAAACAGGGCTAAAGCAAGACACCGCCACGAGGTGGCGCTGCGGCAGTAGACTTGGGACGAATGCAGCTCGCGGGAGCTCGCGCCAGCGCGGGTGCTTTGCGGGGCCCGTGAACGGCGGCCGGGCCTCCGCGCCCGGGACGGACTGCATCTAGCGTGTTGTGACCGTCACTCCCCCATCTGTTTTCCTCTCGGAGGCCGTGCCGTCCCCTCGATCAGGGCGCGCCAGCCTCGTTGCTGGTCCTCGATCCCCAGGGCCAGCCGGAGCCCGGGGCGTCCGAGGAGGGCTGCTGGGGCGGGCCCCGAACTCCCTGAAACGTC